CTGTGGTTGCAGGCGGAAAGGCAAAGGTGTCATTTCGAACTATATGAAAACAATAGCCTTGACTTCCTCATCGTCTGATTATTTAACTTTGATGAAAGTGCCAATTATTGCAGGAGAGAGCTGTTGATCGCTTGATTGGTTCCTCAGATTTACGTCATGCGAGTATGAAAGCTGCCCTTCTGGTATCGAGCCAGGTAGTTGAGGCGTTCTTCTAATAGTCCAGTTTTAGCCGATAATTTTCTTAATAAGTATTTTCATTGTAATTGTAAACTGACCACAGGCAACACGTAAATTCAACACGGTTTCGAATGAAACACGTCGATTATTCAGGAATGCGAACAAGCTCGATCACTGATCAAATTAATTGCTACAAATCTTATTGCCTCCGATATGATTGAAGGTATGTGTTATACCGTTTTGGCCCACGCTTGAAAAGGATCACAATTTCTGCTCAGAGACAACTTGTCCACTCACCTCCGAGGACTGTCTTTGTAATGTGCGAGGCGAATGGGTGCACAGCTACAGAACTGTCCCACTTTGTCCGCCTAAATGTGCACGTGAATGAGGCTGGAGGATGGTGGTATCCGGGTGCTGTCTCCATATTCCGCCTTCGCTATCGTCAAGGTGCAGCAGTTGCTAAGTTCCTGCTATGAAACACCCACTCAACGGTAGAGAACAATCAGAAGTGGGAGAGCGCAGACAAATGGTGCGTTTAGCTATAGCTAAGGGCCTGGCTGACTGTTCGGCAGCTTGGGCGAAGTACGGAAACGGCATCTGAGCTTTACTATCCGCCAACTCCGTTTTCGTGCACTTGTGACCGGAGTAAGTGGCACGCTACTGCAGATGTCGATCCATCATCTCACACATGACAAGGACCAGAATCCACAGAGGTACCTGTGCAGTTTGTCTTCAAAGTGAGCGGGTCGTGCGCACTTGTCACTCAGTTACTGCTAAGCTACACCAAGTTGCAGCAAGCTGGCAAGCAACCACCGACAGCACGCTTGACAACAAGCTGCTGCATCGTAGTGCATGTCCTCAGTATGTTGGTAATATGAAGATCTCATTCAGATGGTGTCGAGTTGCTCTTCTTAGTAAAAGCTGGCGGTGATGCTTGCAAGTATCTCCAATCCCAGCGGCAGTGGAATAAAAGTATTATATATGCGAAAGTGAGTTCTTAGAATTTTTGCGTTTATACCATTCTAGAAAAAAGACATCTAGAGGTTTCCTTCTATTTTTCTCTACGAAATCAATCTTTTTCAGATGGGTTTAGAAGATTCAGAAGATGTGCTCAGCAAATGGATTACTCATCTTTCGTTCGACCAAAAAGTGAGTCTTACACAAAGTCTGAAAGGAGACACGTTGCGCGATTGCAAGTGTTGGGTATTGGGGTCCAGATACTAGCAGCACGGCTGGGAGTGTGGAGCGACAGGAGGGTAGCAGACAGCCAGTAGAGTATAGGAAGATAGGAAGGTAGCAGCCTGCTGGTAGAGAATATGGCACGATAGGTAGGATAACAGACAGCTGGTACCTCCTGTTGTCCCCATAAAAATTAAACCTCTACAGCAGTCTGCCGCTGGTCGTTGGTGGACGTTGACAGACGTTAGATCGATATCCATACTTTCTTAGTCGCTGACGCTGCCGGACGCTCGAAACGCTGGTGGACGCTATTGGTCGCTGGTGGACCTGGCCCGCAACGTATGAACCATCCTGACTCTTCGCTCTCCACCCTCTTACGCCAAAGCTTCTAGCACCCTTTCGCTCCGCGTTTTCCACGTGTATTGTGCCTTTCCTGTTTATGAATTGCAGAAAAATGTAATTTTATTCCATTTTGATCAACTATGTACCCTTCCTAATAAATACATTACGTCATTCTGGGAATATTATGTATCCAGCAGTTCAATAAAAAGTAACATAAAAGAGAAGCCTATTTACAGCAAAATGACTAGTCAGATTACTTCCTAAACACCGAGTGCAGCTCTTTCGCCGGCTGCGCCTTACTATCAGCAGGAACTTTGACACGATACGGGAGGGGAAGAAGCGACACCAGCCATTACTCGAGGTTCGCAAAAATCAGGGTCGTTCACATAAGGGTGGGGTTCGAGTTATTGCTGCACAACCTGGTCCTGCTCAATTTGGAGAGGTCAGTCAGGGGCCAGAATCTTGTACGGTCGTCAAAGAGATGATTAGCTTGGAATACTGGTATAAAGAAATTAGACACCAGAGTAGTACCTAAGAAAAGGGAATGTTTTGAGCATCCCGTAGGATTCACCTGAGAGAAGTTACAGCTGCCTTAAGAACCCAGCTGCTTCATGTCCAACACATTATGGTCCTTACTGTAGGACAAATGATGCCGATCATTCGTAACCACAAGCGGAAAATCAATACGCCTTTGCTAAAGAAATTGACATGAGCTAGCTCCTTCCAGGATTATGGGCAGGATAGGAAGAAAAACACATCTAGTAGTAGAAGCTGAGGCAAATTACCGGTGATCCCATTCAAGGTACATCTGTTATTCAAGGTGTGATCGCTCGCTAGCTCGCGAAATGTTATCGGCTATGGGTGAATTGGCACCATGTGAGCTTGGCATGGGAGAGTTGGCACCGCGGGAACTTGAGGGAGGCGAAGACG